TCACAGTATCTCAACTGCTTCATTGTTAAAGTTGGTGAAGGGCAATGTTTGAAAGGGTATATTAGCTTTCATAGACATGAGGATATTAGGTCCACATTTGAGAGAAGAACTGAACATTTTATTGAATAAGGTCATGAACAATGAAACTAAGCAACTGCATTAGCAATGTGGAATACATCAAGCAGAGGGCCGCCTGCCAACTGCTCAAATAAAATCAGACCTTGTGAGTTGAAGGTATTTACCCAGGTCAGACATCCTGGAAGTGTGCGGTTATAAACATACTCTCTAGCATCTTGATTCTCTGGGACGATTACTCTGTCCTCCTCTTTTTGACTCTCCTCCTTTGGACATCTCAGGATTCTTACCCTTATCTTCCTCCTCAAAAGGACTTTTCTCACTCCTGCATCTCTACGCTACATTCACCACTATGCTGTGGAACATCCTGTCTGGGCTGAACTGCAAAGCACAAATTGAGCAGTCCAGGCATTAGAATCTCATCTCAAAAAACCTAAAGCCTGTTTGACAGTAGCTCTAATCTAAAGATATTTGACATTTAACCTTTCCTCTACAGCGGGCTGAAAATTTCCTGGAGGTGTCACCAGCTAAGACTGTATTGGGTACTCCTTTGTCGCCTACCAACCATTTTTATATTGGCTGAGGGCCTATGAAAACGGATGGCAACTGTGAGTGCTCTAGCATTTATGACTAATGCAGATCTCTGGACATCTAATATAGACCTGCGAAATCTGGTGGAATGGCAACAAATGAAGCAAACATTAAAAAGAGTGGAATTCCTACTAGCTAGGTAGTGACTCAACTGGAAAATGTGTGCACAGCAGTTAAGCACAGAAGTAGACAGAAGATGCCGTTAAAACACAGATATGTCAACATCTATAACAAGAAAAGTATTTACATTTTGGTGTGTAACTCACCATCAAAACCTACCTTTTCTGGACATTGACAGAACATTTATTTCCTGCAACTTCTGTTTTTAATTTATTATTTCCATTTGTAGCTTTTATTTATTAGGGCGAGTTGTGATAAGGCCTTTTACTCGCATTGTCTGTGTCAATATTCAACATAAGAAATAGGAGCAGGAGTAGGCCATCTGGCCCATCGCACCTGCTCCACAATTCAATAAGGTCATGGCTGATCTTTTCATGGTTTCAGCTCCACTTACCTGCCCCCTCACCATAACGCTTAATTCCTTTACTGTTCAAAAATCTATCTTTGCCTTAAAAACATTCAATGAGTAGCCTCAACTGCTTCACCGGGCAGGGAATTCCACATCTTCACAACCCTCTGGGTGAAGATGTTCTTCCTCAACTCAGTCCTAATTCTGCTCCACCTTGTTGTGAACTATGACCCCTAGTTCTAATTTCACCTGCCACTGGAAACAACTTCTCTGCTTCTATCTTATCTATTCCTTCATAACTTTATATGCTTTTTATAAGATCCCCCCTTATTCTTCTAAATTCCAAATAGTATAGTCCCAGTGTACTCAATCTCTCCTCATCAGCCAACTCTCTCAACTCCAGAATCAACCTAGTGAACCTCTTCTGCACCATCTCCAGAGCCAGTGCATCCTTTCTCAAGAGACCAAAACAGCACACAGTACTCCAGGTGTGGTTTCACCAGCACCCTATACAGCTGTAGCATAACCTCCCCGTTTTAAAACTCAATCTCTTCAGCAGTACAGAACAATATTCCATTTGCCTTCTTAATTGCCTGCTGCATCTGAAAACCAACCTTTTGTGATTCAAGCACAAGGACACCCAGATCCATCTACACAGCAGCATACTGCAATTTTTCATCATTTAAATAATAGTCCGTTTTGCTATTACTCCTACCAAAATAGATGACATCACATTTACCAACATTGTACTCCACTTGCCAGATCCTTGCCCACTCCCTTAACCTGTCTATATTCCTCTGCAGACTTTGTGTGTTCTGCACACTTCACTGAACCAGTCATCTTAGTGTCATCTACGAACTTTGACACACTACACTTCGTCCCCAGCTCCCAATGATCTATGGAAATTGTAAACAATTGCGGAACCAACACTGATCCCTGAGGCACACCACTAATAATAAGATGCAAGATGGCACCGACACCGGACAACTCCTTGAGAGTTCCTACAGCAGGTCTAACTCTAACATTTCTTATAACTGTTCTACATTTTTAAACTTAAATTCTTGCAATGTAACCTGTATGCCTCTAAATCTTTTTGATCAGCTCATCCCTTGCTTTCTGTGATCTGCCTGGACCGCTCGTAAACAAAGTTTTTCACTGTATTTCTGTACACATGACAATAAATCAATCAATCAATAGCCACTGATCGCCAACCATTTATCCCCACTCTTTGGTTTCTGTTAGTTAACCAATCCTCTATCCATGTTAATACATTACCATAGTGCCATGCACCTTTATCTTATGCAGCAGCCTTTTCTGAGGCACCTTGTCGAATGCCTTCTGGAAAGCCAGATACACCTCATCCACCGGTTCCCCGCTGTCCACTGTGCTCATAATGTCCTCAAAGAATTCCAGTGAATTCATTAAATATGACCTGCCTTTCATGAACCCATGCTGTGTATGCCTGATGGGACATTTCTTTCCAATGTCTTGCTATTTCTTCCTTGATGATAGATTCAAGCATTTTCCCCACTACAGAAGTTAAGCTAATGAGCCTATAGGTACCTGCCTTAGGGTGCATACAGGAAGAATGGAACTTTAATGATGTAACAGACATTAAATATATGCTTGGCCCTAAGGTGACAGAAACAATTGTTTTATGACTGATTTTAACAACCTGTTTTAATGCCAGGTCTTCAGGTGAGGAACTGGTCATAATTAATTTTAGTTACAAACTTTTTATTTTTATTTTTCTTGTCAATACTGCGATCACTAACATATGAGTCCAAATCTCAACTAATCGACTATATCCATGGTGAAAACAAAAAATGCTAGCGATCACAAGGGGTCAGGCAGCATTTATGGAGAGCAAGCAAGCTAACGTTTCAAGTCTGGATGCTGTGATCTCCAGTATTTTTTGTTTTCTTTATAGATTCCAGCATCTGCAGTAATGTGCTCCTACCTGGTTATATATATGGACCATGTTAACGAAAGTTGACTGCCTAGCTGACTGTGGGAAGCATCAAAATCAAACTGGATGTTGCCCTCATCTCTTTTGGAACTCTCAGAAGCTGTTGGTTAGCTTTTAGAACTATGAACTCTTACATGTTTCCTTCCCCTATCTCAAAGATTCAGAGGACCATTGCAACTCCTACACCACTGCAGCACGTGCAGTACACTGAATGCAGATATACCTGGCATTTGTTTTGTTGCTCACTGAAAAAGCTGGCTATTGTTGAAGAGTAACTCAGCATATTTTTAGTGGTGGAGTTAGGAAGACAGTGGAAAGAGAGATGACAAGTTTAAACAGTAACATGGAATTCTAGAAGCATGGAGTGGATAATGTTCAGGAAAGCAAACAGAAAGGATAACAATGAGATTGAGATTAATCCAATTGTTGGAATAGGTGGGAGACTGTTACTGGGGAGAATTAGTCATCAAATTTGCAAAATCTCAGCATGTACCTGCTTACTGTATGTGCCTGCTAAAAGATAAACATACGCATTTGTTTTTCTCATGACTATCAGATGTCTCAAAATGTTTAAGGAATGATAAAATGTTTTTATGAAGTGTTGTCACTGATGTAATGCAGGAAGAGCAATAACCCATTTGAATACAGAAATCTTCCACAAACATTAATGTGATAACTATCAGATAATCTGCTTGAATGATTTTGATTGCTGGATAAATATTGCCCAGAAAACCAGGGATAACTTCTCCATTCTTCTTTGAAATAGCACCATTGGATCTTTTAAAGCCACCAGAGGGGGTAAACAAGACCTTGGTTTAACATCTCAGAGTCATACAGCACAGAAGCAGACCCTTCGATCTAACCAGTCCATGCTGAACATCATCCCAAACTAAACTAGTTCCACCTGCCTGCTCCTGGCTCATATCCCTCCAACCTTTCCTAGTCATGTACTTACCCAAATGTCTTTTAAAGGTTGTTATTGCACCCACATCCATCGCTTTCTCAGGACGTTCATTCCACACGCAATCCACCCTCTGTGTAAAAAATTTGACCTTTTTTTTAAATCTTTCTCCTGTCAACTTAAAAATGTGCTCCCTCGTCTTGAAATAATCTGAATGAGTTTGAAATCAGATTCCTTGGATCTAAACTGTTTTTCAACAATATGGATGGATTTGATCAAGATTGAGCAGGAGTTTCATAAAGGCCACAGGTGGTAAAGACAAACTGCTGTGATTGCTTAATGCATGGAAGTGAGTCTATTCTACAAAACTTCTGCTGGATTATGAGATGATTAGGTATTGAAAAGCCTGTTCATTGGTGGCTGAGGAAGTCACTATAGGCATCTGTCCATTTACCTTCCAGAATAAATTTTAAAAATGTCAGCTTGACTAATTTGCTTCTGCTACTTTGCAACTTTGTTCCGCGAAAGTATGATTTTGATTTTGGATGACATTCCACATAGAATACTGCACTGTTGGGGAGACAATTTATTTAGGAAATAATAAAACAAAACTCTGTTTGTCAGTTCTGGTGAATAAAGGTGAATTATTATAGCATTGTTCAAAGAGCAGTGAGTTCTGCTTTGTTTCTTATCCAATACCTCTTACTCAAAAAATACTACTAACAAACCAGATATTTAGTCATTTACTTTCTGGCTGTTGTGGGATGTTTGTGGTGCAGGATAGCTGCTAAATAACAGTTACGATGCTCTAAAGAACAATTTGTCATGTAAAGTTCTTTGAGCCATTTGGTGAAATGAATTTCACACAAAATTTGAGCAGAAAAAGTGACAACTGTTTTCCATTCCTCCTGCAGTGTGATATTTAAGTTGCAATTCTCCTCCCAACTTCAACACTGACCTTAGTTGGTTCCAAAGGATAAGACAAATCAGAAAACTAGTGCAGATTAACATTTATGTAACTTAATAAATTAAAGATATTTACAAAACATTTTCATAAGACATGTTTTTATACTTTCTGTGAACCAGACTCCTATATGGTGTAATTCCAGTGGCTTCAGCCCAGGAAGTGGAAACTGCTCTGATTAAAGGGGAAGACTGGGGCAGGAGAAGAGGCAGCACACAGGGTATAGTACGGGTGGAGGTGGGCAACTGGTGCCATGCCCAATCTCTATTTTAATCTCCCCTATTTCCATTCTATGTCTCCTTGTCCAAGCGCACATTGCTCCAGTCTCTTTGCATAATCAGCTTTGAACAGATCAGTTAAGGTTTCTGCTATCCTATTTCTTGAAGGAGTGATATTAGCATCCATTGTTTATACAGCTGTTACCAGGGCTGGCAAAGACTGATTCATGTGCTATGACTGAAGTTCCACAGAGGATGATATCCTGGCAGTGGCCTGTGACATCAACGCACAAATGATTGAGCTGGAATCCTCCATCTTCTGAGACTGAGGAAAGTATCCCTGGCAGTATTTTTGCACCTTTTTTTTGTTAATTCTCCATCATTCTCCTTTTCATTGTTTTCCTCCTGCATACACCCCAATACCCACTGCTGGGTTCAGTACCTTGGTCCCGCTGAGCATAGCTTGCAGATGTTCCCGCCAATACAGATTTTCCATAGCTGTTTCAACACCACTGTTTAATTCTGTTCACTTTTGATGTGCAATTCATCAAGTGACATTCCACCTAACAGGATCCAAGTGTGTGTATCTGAACTGGTGCCTAGTCTGTATTGTCCTGTAATGATAGAGTCCCAGAAGGAATCAGCTCTTCTGAAGAACAGTCCTCCAGCAAGTCATGAACTGCTGTTCTTCATCTGGTCGTCCTGGAAGAAGAGGAGGTAGATATAGTTTAATCATGGGAATGTGCAAATATTGAAATGCACATGAGTAATGTGACCATATTCTACTTTGCACCAAATTCGATTCTGAATAACTCAGTCTTATGTGGGTTAGAGATATTTAATCTGGTTACCATAAACCAGTGAGCCCGGTTTTGCCATCTCTAATTCTCAGGTACGTTGACACACCACTTATCTGCAGGGCCTTCTGATGAGATGGAATACACTTAACAAGACAGAGTGAAGAGGTGCACTTCAGGGTGTAGGCTAATTTGCAACTTTGCTCACCTTTCCTTATCTGGTTAGCTCATTAAAATGCTTCCAACACAGACTGCCATCCTTCTAGTAAAACTCCTGTTACTCACCTCATCAGCCTCTCCCAGGCATGCCTTTTTCATTGTGCAGCAGGTTTTGTTTTCCCCTTTACTGAAAACAGGACAACTTTCCTCCACCTTATTACATGCAGTGGTACATCAATAAATGACTCTTTCAGAGTCAAGCTTTTGCCTTCCCTGGTTCCATCACAATTTTTAAAAATTCATGCATGGGAAGTGGGTGCCACTGGCTAGACGAGCATTTAATGCCATCCCTCGTTGGCCTTGGGAAGGCAGTGGTGAAATATTAACTTGAACCACTGCAGTCCATGTGCTGTAATAGACCCACAATGCTATTAGGGATGAAATTTCTAATTATCACATACAATTCAGCCAATTCCTCCAAATTCCACTTCTCCATTTGCCTACTAAATGGAAAAGGTGAAATTGGATTGTGTGCATCTATACTGCACTTGCTTACATGCAAGCCAGAGTGGTGAAATTTAAAAGAGGAATCATAATGTATCGCCTATAATATTGGACATGCTCATGCATCCCACACACTTTGCATCTGTTACCATGACCTTTGCTTAGATCTCACCTCTATTATAATTTACTCTTGACTCAATTAAAAATATTCCCAGTCACTACTGCACCTTCAAAAACAAAAGCTAAATATGAACATATATAAAAAAAATTGGACGTATAGGCCTGCATATTCTTTTTGTATAATTGGGCAATACTCTATATAAATCACTAGTATTATGTACTGCTAGCATGAAATAGCCAGCAAACTTGAATCACTTTTAAAGTGACTGATAAGAATTTCCACTTCAGTTTTAGAGTCAGAAATGAGCAGCACCATGTGAAAGCAGCACTCCGGAAACGGAAGGGTCAACGGACCCAAAATGTTAACTCTGTTTTCTCCTTCACAGATGCTGCCAGACCTGCTGAGCTTTTCCAGCAACTTTGTTTTTGTTCCTAATTTACAGCATCCGCAGTTCTTTTGGTTTTTACTCAGGAAACAACTTTGTTTCCTGGAGTGGGAAGGAGAGAGAGTTTGGAAATTATTATGAACCTGCCTCAAAGAAAAGAATTGTGCATTTTGGCTTTAAAAAAATCACATAATATGCAATCAAGACAGGACAATGAAAACATTGATGCTGAAGGTTTGCATTCACAATCTCTTGTATTATTGGATCAGAGTCTGTTCCCAACTCTCAGCACCATTAAAGATAGCCCCAGGTGAGGTGAGCATATGTGCAGAGGGGATGTGTGCAACTATCAATCTCTTGTAAATGTGTCTATGCAGATTGTCTCCCCTACAATCAAGAATTAGCTGAGACTAAGTTAATGTTCGCGATCAAAGAGGAAACCTTGGGATCTGAGTGCTAATTAAATCGGTTTCAATAAATATTGGTCCATGTCTCACAGTTGCCCCAACATCCACTTGATGGGAAGCAGAGGTCTCTCACTTTCTGACTGAAATTCAATAAATGCTTTATTTAGACAGAGACTTTGCTGTCTGGGAAAAGGTCAACTTGTTTAGTCCTCCTTTGACCATGTGATAGTGTGGAGTCATTTAACTAAGCCTAGCAATTAGATTCCAAAATGTAATTTTCTGAAATCTTTCTTAAAGGCTGCTGCCTTTCTATTGCCTTGTGAACACTCTCATTTCAAGCATGCATGAGTGATGTTCTACCTAATGGGAGCATTAGCCTTAATTACCACCTTATTGAACTAGGGTTCCAGTTTTTACCAGGGCCTCAAAAATACAGTGCTCCACTTGAACGCCTTCTCTTCATCCACAAATATGCTCTCAGCTATCTATGGCTGAACACTTTTATTCCTTTTACCTTTTGGCTAGCTCCTTATCTTTGGATGTCTGTACAGTTAGAGCCAATTTCATTGTTGGCTTTATTGTGTCTTTAACATTTGCTCACAAGGTGGTAGATACCTGGAATGTGCTGCCAGGGAGGTGGTAGAAACAGATACATTAGCAAAGTTTAAAAAGTATTTAGCCAGCCATGAACAAGCAAGAAATATAGGGCTACGGATCATGTACAGGCAGATGGGATTAGTTTAGAATGGAATTGTGGTCGGCAGATGCGGTGGACCCTAGGGCCTGTTCCTGTGCTGTACTGTTTAACGTTCTATTCCTGGTATCAAAATATCACATTTTCCAGCAATTTTCCACATTAGTAACTTTTGAAAAGATTCAATTCTGATTTTGTGGAAATCTGGTGCAACATGGCTCAACACGTTGTGAATTTACTTATAGCTCTGGGTCTTACATCTCCCAAATGAATAAATTTTTATTTAGTTTTAACTTTGCTATTTATAAATAAGAAGAATAAACACAATCTAATTATCACAATCCATCTTTAGTTTCACTATTTAGACTCCAACATCTGTATTATAATGGACTTCCAGCGTTTTCTTGTGTTTTTATTCCACGATTTTATGATTCTTTTTCAAATGGACTTGTGTTTACATAAACCTTCATAGGTTACAACATCCAGAAGCAGTTTACAACCAGTACATTAACTACTTTGAAGTGCAGACATTGCTGTTATGCTTGTTATTAAGATGGGCAAATGTTGGTCTTGTCAGCAACACCTACACCCCATGAAAGAATTAAAAATATTCAGAATAATGGCATCCTTCTTTCTACAAATGCTGGTTGCAGTAATGGGTGTTTCCAGTGTTTACTGATTTTGAATGAAATTAATATCTTCCGTGTAATAGTAGTCTGGCAGTTCAGCAATAATCAAGTGCTGAACAAGACAAAAACACCAAAGATTTTCATCTTGCACTCATCTGAAATTCCAAAAATACTAAAGTAAATGGAAAACAACATTTATACTGTATGAGAGGAGAATACTGATTGTTGGCAAGTGGACTCTGGTTGAGTCAATGCCATGAAGAATGCACCAGTTGACAAAGACTGATAGTTAAAAGCCAAGCTATGTTTAAGGTTTAAATCAGGCAAATGACTCTGACTGATCAAGTACAAAAGCTCAGCTTTCCAGCTGCTGGAAAAGCTCAGCAGGTCTGGCAGCATCTGTGAAGAAAAGTCAGAGTTAACGTTTCGGGTCCAGTGACACTTCCTCAGAACTGATTAAGGCATAGCTCTGAGAAATGAACTACAGAATGGCTGTGACCTATTTTGCTCAGTTGAAATAAGTGCAGCAAGTGTCCATATTCTTTCTGTCTTTCAAGAAGAGGGCCCTATGTATCAATATACATAACTTCTAGTATTTAAGAAAAACTAAAAGAACTGTGGATGCTGTAAATCAGGAACAAAAACAGAAGTTGATGGAAAAGCTCAGCAGGCCTGGCCGCATCTGTGGAGAAAAAAAAAATCAGAGTTAATGTTTCGGGTCCCTAACGTTTCGGGAATGTTCCCAGTTCTGAGGAAGGGTCACCGGACCCAAAACGTTAACTTTGATTTTTTTCTCCACAGATGCTGCCAGACCTGCTGAGCTTTTCCAGCAACTTCTGTTTTTGTTCCTGTATTTAAGGTGTTGCAAGATTTGTAGCTCGAGTTGTGGATGAGGTTGTTGGCTTGCTTGCCAATCTGGCTGGTTATCATACAGACGTTTCATCACCATGTTAAATAACATCATCAGTGCAGCCTCTGATGAAGCAATGTTCTACTCCGCTTAGTATTTATATGATCTGGTCTGTTAAGTTCGGTTGTGTCATTTCCAGTTCTGTTCTGCATGTGTTTGTATATGGGGTCTATCGGCACTGATGATGTTACCTAGCATGGTGATGAAATGTCTGTACAATAACCAGCCAGCTCGGTGAGCAAGCCAACAACTTCATAACTTCCAGTACATGCAATGCGTTACATTGCAAGCTCAACTGACAATTTCAAATTGGCTCTCCGTGTAATTCTTCACACACTCAGAAATATTTCTGAAATGTTGTCCAATTACTTGTAATGTTGGACACTGACTAGGTATGGACGGTACCTTGCTTGTGTAAACAGCCAAAGGGATTCACTGTTTAGTCTGTACCATACAATCTGCCAGTCTTTGGGATGTAAAGTATACATCACACTGGCACTGAAAATCATATACCATTAATTGTTGATTAGCCAACTTGTCGACAGGATTGGCTGGACCACAGTTGTAGTTTATTGCTAAATCTTTCTGTTTTCAGCTTCAGATAATCCTGCCAATAACTGATGAACAAACATGGAGAGTGATATAAGCTATGAAGCTGTGGGAAGCTTCCCACTGATCTGGACATCAAAATGTTGATGGAAATATTGACACTTGGGATGGATTTATGGTTTAGGATTTCCAATCTTGATGCTGGGATGATTTCTGAGTCAGGATTCCAGTGCTGGGACCCTCAAAGTGATTTTGGAAATGGCAGGCAATTAAGTGGTCTCCTCCAGGAGCCTAATAAAATTAAGGACAAGAAGCAGGCTCCCCAGGCTAAGAGACCAGGAGGAGGCCTTTCAATATTAAAAAAATCCAAAGCCACACAGTCAGAGATGGAACTGCCAATGCAGATAGGAGAAAGAGAGGGAACCTCAAGATGGAGGAGCCTTTTAAAGACTTTCCATAAATTTAGAAATTCAGAGAGACACAAGATGCCAAAGGGCAAAAATGTAATGCCATTGGAGCCAGCAGAGTGTCTTTAAAGGCCATAGGGCACCCTACTTGCAGGTGGATAGCCATCACCATTCCACCGCTACACCCCCACCTCTCCAATGATCAGCCTGTTCCAAATGGTCCAAAGTTGAGAACAAGCTGGCCAATCCATGAACCTGCCGGTAACAGGAAATGTTGGCTCATTTACCTTCAATCCTACCTGTACACCTAAATTAAAGTTAATCCCTTAGCAGTTCCATGACATGATGCTTCCATGTCCAGGAATGTACCAATGTTTTTCAGTGATCAGTCAAAACCAACAATTTCACAACATTTACCTCTTTGAGAAAGTATTGCTAGGTTCACTCAAAACAGATCTGCAAGAAAAAGTAATTCACATTTGAAGTGGAAAAAGTATGAACTCTATCATGAATCCATATACTTGAGAAGTATATAAACTTGATGTGTACACAAATTTGTCTAAATGTAATAACTCTAAGTTTGAGGATGACACAAAGCTGGATGGGAATAAGGAGGATACAAAGTTGCTTTAGTGCGATTTTGAATAAACTGAGTGAGTGGGCAAATGCATGCAGATGAAGTATAATGTGGATAAATGTGAGGTCATTCTCTTTGGTAGCAAAAACAGGAGGCAGATTATTATCTGAAAAGCAATAGATTGGGAAAGGGGAGACGCAACAAGTTCTGGATGTTCTGGTACTCCAGTCCCTGAAAGTAAGGAAGCAGGTGCAGCACACATTGAAGTAATGGTTTTTGGCCTTCATAGTGAAAGGATTTGAGTACAGGAGCAGGGATGTCTTGCTGCAGTTGTACAGAGCTTTGGTGAGACCACACCTGGAGTAGTGTATGCAGTTTTGGTCTCCTTATCTGAGGAAAGATATTCTGGATATGGAGGGAGTGCAATGAATGTTTACCAGACTGATTCTTGGGAATAACAGGACTGACAATATGAAAACAGATGGGATCAGTTAGAAATATTTTCATTGAATTTAAAAGAATGTGGAGAGATCTCATTGTAACCAATAAAATTCTAACAGGACTAGACAGGGTAAATGCAGAAAGGATGCTAGAGCCAAGGCTCACAGTCTAATGATATGGTGTAGACAAATTAGGAGTGAGATGAGGTCACAGAGTCATACAGCACAGAAACAGACCTTTCAGTCCAACTAGTCAATGCTGAACATAATTCCAAACTAAACTAGTCCTATCTGCCTGCTCCTGGCCCATATCCCTCCTTTCCTAGTCATGTATCTATCCAAATGTTTTTTAAACATTGTAATTATACCCAAATCCACCACTTCCTCAGGAAGTTCATTCCACACGTGAACCACCCTCTGCGAAAAAATTTTGCCTCTCATGTCTTTTTTAAATCTCTCTCTTCTCATCTTAAAGATACGTACCCTAAGTCTTGAAATCCTCCATCCTAGGGAAAAGACAAGTACCATTAACTCTATCTATACCTCTCATTATTTTATAAACTTCTATCAGGACACCTTTCAAACTCCTACGTTCCAGTGAAAAAAGTTCCAGCCTATCCAGCCTTTCTTTATATTTATAACTTTCCATGTCTGGTAATATCCTGGTAAATATCTTCTGAACCCTCTCCAGCTTGATAACTGATAACTCCCATAGCTGGCCAACCAAAACTGGATACAGTAGTCCACAAGAGGCCTCACCAATATCCAGTACAACCTCAACATGACTTCCCAACTCCGATAGGCAATCAAGTGAAATTTCTTCACCCAAAGAGTGGTGGCCACGTGGGATCTCTGCCACAGAAAGCAGTTCGAGCCAAAACATTGAAAAAACAGGAACAGGGTACTGAGTTGCATAATCAACCATGATCATAGAGAACGGCATAGTGGGGTCAAAGGGCCAAAAGGCTTATTGCTATTTTCTATGTTTGTATATGGTCGGCAGTGGTTTGCGAAAGCGGCTCACATAAACGTAATCAAGGTAATTAGAGATGGGCAAGCTGATGTACATCCAAAGAACAAATTTAAAAGAAAAGGCATTTCACTGTACACAACCCAAGCAATGTAACTGTTCCAACACGAAAACAAAATACTGGGGATGCTGGAAACCAGACAAAAAGAGAGAAACATGGTTTTAGGTTTATGACCTTTTACAATATGAAGAATGTATACTCACTGTGTTAATATCTTCAACTGTTCAACACTGCACATATTCTTCTAGATGGGTAAAAATGAATATTTCATAGTTAACCAGCAAGGTAGCAAGTGGAAGGCCCTCGACTGAAGCCTATTCCCGACCAATCACAAACTGTAAGATCACATGACGGGCACGGGTCATATGACTGAGTAAGATGGCTGCGCGGAGAAGAGGGTGGATGTTGCTGTTTTTCTGTTTCTCCTTCGTTTGGGAAATTGTGTCGTGGAAGACCACCTGCAACGACCATGGAGCCGGTACCGGTGGTCATTTGGCATGGCACGAGTAAGACGGCGGTGAAAATGTTCTCTCATTAACAGACTTAGAAACGGAGTTAACTGAGAACTGGCTGATCGTGGGCGAATCCCTTGTTTGATCGTATGCTCGTGCATTTCACTTACAATCCGTAAACATGTTCAAATAGTAAGTTGATTTAGAATTCACAAAGCACCAACTTTCGATTTTGCTCGACCAGCCAGCAATGGTTTACGTTTTTGAAAAAAATGTAAGCCGTTAAACTTAATTTACTTGAAGCTGTCTCTTGAGGTCAAGACAACCAAATCCTATTAATATATAATCAGATAGAGAACTGAAATTGGACTTTGTTCAAGGCATAGCAATAGTAATTAATCGTTTTGTTTTGTCAAGAGTAAGCAAACCATTTTGCATAATTGGTAGTATATGCAGTATAACATTCAGCTATTATAACCAATGTTACTTTTGGATATGTATTAACACAACTGTTCAAAATGGAGCTTATTTGCATTTGAACCTGTATTGATCCCACCTGATGCTATTGTGGGACAAGTTGGATCCCAGTCTGAAATTTGATAATTTTGATCAAAATGTTTTTTTTGTTTTGATGAAGTAGTCTCTTACTGAAATGTGTGCAATGTTGCAGTTTTTTAAAATAGTAGAAAAGTTTATGAAGCAAAAACAATGAAGATAAAATAGAATAAACTAGCCTGTTTACTTCTAGGAAATTTAAAAGTTTTGAAGTGTATGTGAAATATAACACCATTAATCCCAAAATACTCCTGTAGCTACCCAAAAGCATACTTGTACAGTACTTGTACCACAAAATCCTTTTATTTAACACCTCAATGGTTGTAATTTAACTTCCAATCCCATCTGGAAAATCTGACAGCTCTAGGAAAAAGCTATCATTCAGCTAAACTTAAACATTCTCCGCTTCAAATAATCTCCAGAATTTTAACCAAGCAGTTCTTATCTGTTTACTCTAAGGTAATCTAATGTTAACAAATGTATCTTATACTTTTCGCAGGAGCAGCTTTCCACATGTAAATGTACAAAACTGAAATTAAAAGTTCTTATACTAAGCTTAAAAATAAGTCCAGAAATTTTTAACAGAAACTTTGTGCAATTATTTACCTTGCTAGGTAAGCTCTACGTAATGTAAATAAAACTCACTAGTTCTGAAAACCAGCCCTCAAAGATAAATAGAATAGAAGAATTCCTACAGTGTGGAAACAGGCCCTTCGGCCCAACAAGTCCACGCTGACCCTTGGAGCATCCCACCCGGACCCATCCCCCTCTAACCGACCTAAGCTACACATCCCTGAACGCTTTGGGCAATTTAGCATGGCCAATCCACCTAACCTGCACACCTTTGGACTTTCACAATGGTTATAGAGTCACATGTTAATTAATTCCTTCAGACATTGGAAAGTCCATATATCACTACTTCAAAATCCAGACTTGCCACAAATATTATAAATGTATAAATCTCTGTCTGCATCATAATTTTACCTTGACTGACTGATATATAATTGCTGAAATAATCCTGCCTAAAATTATCAATGTGTTCAACTAGCTATGGTGATGTTTAAATACCCTAATTTCTATACAACTTGATTTTTTTTTTTAGGTGATAGCTGTTGCAAAGCATTTACCCTGAAATTTATTAAACTGGTAGAAGAAACTGTCCCAGGAAGTTGTGTTATCCTTGAAAATTGGAAAAAGTGCTACTGAGGTAGGTCTTAATGAGAAATAATAAGATAGAATGAATCCAAGTATGATGGGGAGGCAATGGCCTAGTGGTATTATCACTGGACTGTTAATCCACAGACCCAGATAAGATTCCGGGGACCCAGGTTCAAATCCTGCCACAGGAGATAGTGGAATTTGAATTCAATGAATATCTGGAATTAAGACTATGAATCCATTGTCGATTGTTTGGTTCACTAATGTCCCTTAGGGAAGGAAGCTGCCACCCTTACCTGGTCTGGCCTACATGTGACTCCAGACCCGCAGCAATGTGGTTGATTCTTAACTGCCCTCTGGGCAAAAGGGATGGGCAATAAATGCTGCCTAGCCAGTGACGCCCTCATCCCATGAATGAATAAATTTTAAAAAATGTGAATGTTAAAATGCTGTAATTGAACTTTTTACTGATAAAGGAACTTTGAAATATTTAAAAATGTGATCCTGGAGAAATAATTTTGGTAGAATGCTCAATAGCTTACATTAGAGCGGTCTGCAAAAATACTTTTCTTAATTAGTTAGGAAGCTTAAAATACTGTATGCTATACCACAAATCATGGTTAAAAGTTATAACAAAATAGGGTTTCTATTCCCTATTTGCCTGGCACTTCCCAGTGGAAATATTTGGGTAGAACATATCTTATTAGGGTCAACGTAAAGAATGGCTCAGCTGTGCTGCTATCCTCTCTTCACTTCCTGATCCCCAATGAGTGATGTGATTAAATTCCACACAGGCCATGTACAGCAGAATGCATGCTTATAGGAACCACATTTGATGCTGTCGGAAAGAAAATCTGCAGGAATGATAAATTACAAAGAGGGCATACTAAAGTTTACGTCTTTAGTTTTTTTTTATATAGTCTCTCTGCTGGTATTTATGAAAATCCAGCCCACCTTGGATTTTTGCACCCATAATGTTTTCCCTCCCTGGAGATGCTGTCTATTAATTAGATGTGGTTCCTTTGTACTGACAATTACATGCATCTTACCCAAGTGGATATTGCAGATTTTCAAAATTAAGTAACTTCTGTGATCTAGACTTCTCTACTGTTAGTGATAAAACATTACACACAATTTTTTTTTTTAAGGAAATTGAGAACAGTTACTTCATGAATGTAAATGATCAAGTTGAGATGGCGTGTAACATATTGTACAAGGATAAGAAGCTACAAAATGGATAGACTGCAATGGGCTTCTCTCAAGGAGGTCAACTTATGTAAGTGTGGCAATCAATATGGTTTGCCTTCTGAGGGAGCTCTGTGCTTATTGACCACTTTTTAAATCTTCAGGACATTGCAAAGCATTTCACTACCAACGATCTTTTTTTAATACAGTGGGGAAAAAAAACTCCTGATTTTCCATTTGTTGTAGGAGAGCTGTGGCACAGAGATGTCCTTCTCCTGCAATGAAAAACCTGATCACATTTGGAGCCCAACATCAAGGTAATGTTATAGTTTGGTTTGCTCGATTTAAATGCATAACTTTCAAAGGCCAAAACCTTTTTCTTGTATTGCAATTGTCTGACAAACCTGCTGTAAAAGTGAGCCACTGAAACATTCCATAAATACTACCCATGAAGGTGATAATGTTGAGGTCACGTGACCAAATGATAATTTAGGCTCTAAAAACATTACAGTAGTGCCTTACTGTACTTGTATTGAAGTATCTGTTAGAACATTCCACTGCTTCTCTACCCTTCTAAAATTTCAACTGAAACTACCTTACAGTAGAGTTGAAAATTAGCATAGAATATAAAAGAATTTGACAAACAAATTCCAAAAAATCAGCCTGAAAACTTCACCTAAAACTGAACTGCTCTGAAGCAGCCATCATGAAAAGTCAGGGCCAGTCTAAATCGGGTCCGTGATGATCAGCTATCACACTGAGCAAAATGCAAACTAATCGAGCATTTATTTGGTCCAATTCAGATATAAAAATCAACTGTCATTGCCTCCCATCCCTACTGTCCATGGTAATCGGCTCACTGGTGTCCTTGTTTCCTCTCGGAGACCATTCAAAACATAGTGTCACTGGAAATTCTCCCCTCCACTAAACATTGGAATCAGTTATGCCATACTCATCATGAAATGCAGGGAGCACCTGGTGAAATTAGACAGAAACTCCTAAAATGACAGTCTCTAGAGACTTATAAAATCATGCGGGGCTATTCACCCTATCCATGCCAAGTCATTTTTCCATGGTAGAGGAGTCCAAAACTTGAGGGCGTAGGTTTAAGGTAAGAGGGGAAAGATTTGAGGGATCTGAGGGGCACTTTTTCATGCAGAGGGTGTTGCATATTGGAAAATAGCATCAGAAGAAAGTCAATAGTCATTTGCACTCTGCAAAACTAAAGGACACTTATCTTCTCTCTGCTACCTCCAATTCATAAGGCCATCATTCAGTTTAACTCTGCCACTGTAAACTCTCTCATAAAGCCTCATAGCCTGCAAACCTAAGCATCACAGTGTTCACTTAAGGTTTCAATCTTCACCTGCTCTCTTGTCCGGAAATAGAAAAATTAATCAATTTTGCTTCAACTGTCCACCAATATCTATTACTTGCCCACAGGCTCCACAGTTACCTCTACTACTTCTGGAGTACTGTGTCCAGTTCTGGTAACTGTTTATAGGAAGGATATTAATAAGCTGGAGATGGTTCAGAGATTTGCCAGGAATGGAGGATTTGAGTTATAAGGAGAGGCTGCATAGGCTGGGACATTTTTCCACTGGTGCTTGGGAGTTGAAGGTTAACCTTATAGAGGTTTTTAAAATCATGAGGGACATAGATAAGGTGAGTGGCAGGTGTCTTTTCCCTAAGGTGGAGGTTTTCAAGACTAGGGGGCATATCTTTTAGAGTGAGAGGAGAAAGATTTAAAAAGGACATGAGGAGCAGCCTTTTTATACAGTGGTTTTTGTGTGGATAAACTTCCAGAGGTGGTGGAGGATGCGGGTACCGTTAGAACATTTAAAATATATTTGAATAAGTACATGAATAAAAAGTGTTTTGGAGGGATATGGGCTGATTTGTAGGCTGGTCGGACTAGGTTAGTTTGGGGTTATGGTCGGCATGGACTAATTGGACCGAAGGGTCTGTTTATGTGCTGTACGACCCTAGTCTTTTTTTTTTTTTTTGTTTAAAAAAAATAAGTTATTTTATGTCTTTCCCTCCGACTAGTTTCTGACTGCTTTTGTTTCACTGTTGCTCCATTAGGTGTGTATGGTTTACCACGCTGTCCTGGAGAGAGTTCCCACATATGCGACTGGATA